ATTCATCAAAATAGGTGAGCATCTCTCTCACTGAAGTGCTTTCTGAGTCCTCCCCTCTCTTCATAAACTAGCCAATCAGGCAAGCCTTGGTCTTCATAAACTGGCCAATCAGGCAAGCCTTGGATTTCCTGGCAACAGCTCAGCAGCACAGAACCTCTTCAACTAGGCTTCCACGGGCTCCTTTCCTGTGCGTCAAGGTCCCCTGGGACTGAAGGCCCCTTGGGGATGTGCGGCAAGTCCAATAAACAGGATTTCATTTTTTGTAGCTCCTGAATCTCATCACTCCAAGGGCCACAGTGAACTGACAGAACTGCTTCTGCCTTTTGTATTGTGTTCAGTGCTTCGGGTACTGCAAACCTGAACCAAAAGAGGCGAGAGGAGTCACTCATTTAATCACGCAAACACTGAGTGCCTACTCCCTGTAAAGAATACAAGGTTACATATGACCGTGTCTGTCCTCTGGGATCTTACAATCTGGAAGGGTAGGTAGAAAACATTCAAAAACACACTGCAAGGTCGAGTTTAAGGAAAAAGGTATGAAAGAAAGGATAAAAATTCCAGGATCCAGAGAAACAGGGACATCTCGATGCTTTAATCTGATGTTCACTTTAAGATTTACTCAGAAGCTGCCATTCATCTTAGCATAAGTCTACCCCTGGATCTAGCTCTGCAATCCTTTTCTCTCTCTCTGGTCAAGTGGGCTGCCTCTGTGTTTCAGGTATCTGGTCTACCCGTCATTCATGATGGAGCATCAAGTTTCAAATACTCTGTCCCACACCGATGTACACTAATGGCAGCTTTATCAATCAAGTTTAACTGGATGTGGCAGCTGCTCATCAACCCTCCTGCTGTTCCTTTTCACCTTTAAAGCAGGGGTTTTCAATCTTGACACTACTGACATTTGAGGTCAAATAATTCTTGGTTGTGGAAGCTGTAGCTGTGGAGCTGCACCCCTGGTCTCTACCCACTAGATGCCAGTAGCACCCTACCCTTATGGTCATGACAACCAAAATGTCTCTAGACATTGTCAAATGTCCCCTGGGAGGCAAAATCACCCCTTGGTGAAATACCACTGCCTTAGAAGGAGTGAGATACAGACTAGAGGGAAGGAGGAAGCTCTGGAGTCGAGGGTGCTGAGAACGAGAGGCCAAGAGAGGTGTGATCCAACAGAGGAACGAGCAGGGGTGCTATCGAGGTGGGCGGGGTGCTGCGTTGCAGGCTCTCCCTGGGAAACTCATTTCAAATCTGAGAGCCTTCCCCATATCCCTTAGGAAGAAACTCTAATGTCTGAAGTTGGTCAGCAGAACAGAAGGCAAAGATATCTCCCCTAAAGTCTTAAAAGTCTAAGAAAAAGAGTAGCACACGCAAGAGCCAGATAAAAGAAAGGTACAAACAGTCCTGGCAAAATGCCAGGGAATGAGAGCGCCTTACCCGTTGAAAGAGATCTGGGCCAGTTTGAAGAGCTCATGGCCCATTTCCACACTGGCTGGCCCATAGCGCACCTCAACCACTTGGAGACTCCTCTGCAGATGGAGAGCTGACTTTTGCCAGTCCCCTGAAAGAAAAATCTTGTTGCAGGAAGCAAAGCAAAACAAAACAAAATACTCTTATTGGCTGAACGTTTTCAGGGTGAGGGAAGCTGAAAGGAAGGGAAAGCAGCTTTAGTTTGAAGACTAAGATAACCAACCAGTCAAGGCCAGGGTCCTGGGAAAACACACAGTGCAGACTTGTTCCTCACACTGGAAAATGCAAACACATGGCATACCTGAGGCGGCATAAGCCTGGGCCAGGTCGTCCTCGATTTCTCCTACCACGGAGTGTTCTGCTGACAGGAAACTCTCAGCAGCATACCGGCATCCCAACAACAGCTGAATGGCTTGCTCTACCAATTTAAAGGAAAATGGCTTCACTATATGGACATAAATAGGAGCTCTGGTGACATAGTGCCTAAGGCACTTGACTGCTAACCAGAAGGCTGGAGGTTCGAACCCACCAGCCATCCTCGGAAGGAAGATGGGGCAATCTACTTCTGTAGTGACAGTGCCTTGGAAACCCAAGGAGGGGTTGTTATGAGTCGGGTCTGACTCAATGGCACATAACAACAACAATAACAACAACAACACAGACATAAATACAATCACATAAAAGAGGACCAAGGTCTCAAATTCTACCCCAGTTGCGCTGAATTTGAGAACCCTCCTTGGTCTCCGTGGATTGGTGACAATCCACAATGCTGCATTTCTTTGTTCCAATAAAGCTGTTGTTCTCTTATTTCTCTGTGTTCATTTTCAAGTGAAAAAGGTGCTAGGTGAGGTCTCCCCACTGTTGACTGTGGATTTGCAACTTTAGCTTTCAAATACAGCCAGTTCTACGTTCCACTTAGGGTCATTATTTCTCTTGACTCTGAAATCTAAGCTAAAGGTGAACTTTCCTAACGTCAATGATTTCCATGAATCAAGCTCGAAGGCAGAATTTTCATAGGTAATGAGGAGTTCCCTTAACTTGCTCTCAAAAAAAAGCAGGATACTCATATCCACTGGGTACAGGCCCCACCGTCCTCTGCACTGGCTCTGATGGGGCAGATCGACCTCTCCAGGAAGTTATGTCATTAGGCCCTGGAATTAAAATAAATGGCATTGAACTTGTGGAACCGCAATAAGCACACAGATGTCACAGATAACCCTTTAGCTGTGGTGGGACACTTCAAGTAGCTATGTGATGCATAAGAGAACAACAGCTTAATCAGCCGGCCAAAATGAGCTGGTCTGCATCTCACTGGACTACACAGCCATCTTGTGGCTGGCATGGGGATAATTCAGTTCAATTTTTCATCACTGAGTACCCTGGAGTCCAAGGTGATCTCAGAATGAATAAATGGGAAGGGGGCTGAAGGACCAAAGCAGGGAGCCAGTCTCACCTAGTTTACCATTTCTGAGAAGCTCCTGGGCCATCCCAACCTGCTGCTGAAGGTCCCGTAACCGAGAGACTAGGTGATCCCTGCTGACTGATTCCGTACAAGATGTGTTGCCACAGCTCAGCACATCGTCTCCCTGTGGAAGTCAGTTTTATCTTTACTCCTACACCTGCGTCAGTTATCAACAGTGCATTTGCTTACATTACAGGACTATGCCACAGCTTCTGACCCTATTGGGGAAAGAGACTCTTGTAATACATCATGACTAAAGCCTGACTCAATGTGGTTTGACAGCAATGATCCTAATGAAAGCACTAGCTGGATCCCATACTGAGATTTAATTTTCAGGACCAAACTGGTAGTTTCCAGTTTCTTTCCATCTCTACACCCCCTCTCTTATCTCTCTTTGGGGCCACGATTTTGGATGACAGACATATTTCTAGTGGTTATGAAAAAGCCATAAGAAAACCAATAGAAAAAGGTACTGGGTGAGGCCTCCTCGTACATGACCTTGGATTTGCAACTTAAGTATTCTAACACAATCGGTTCTAATTCCAGTTAGGGTTTACCCAACAAGAATACTGCATCATCTGGCAGAGGAGAAACTCTCTGAGGTGGGCAGCTGCTGGTTTTAGATGCCCTCATTCACAAAAGCAATTGATTTCTCCTGAGAATCTTCCCCCCCATACACAGTCAGTGCCCTGTAGCTGAGGGCATGGACATACGTCTCAGATTAGCTCATTACTCTATCCCAAATGCCTGGAAGAAAACTATGTGACTGTGATTTTTCCTCCAGCCAGATACTAGGTCAGTGGAATGCAATAAAATTTTTGCCCAGACTGCTGGAAGAGAGTGGCACATGTTTTTATCTTCCTGGACAGGAAGGATATGAGGGGAGAGCGGCTGGCAGCCATTTTGCCTTAAGAAGGAAGTCTGTCTGAGGATGGGGCTAACACAGAGAAAAGGGAGCTGAGAGAGGCAGAGAGAAAAACTGGGTCCTGGTGACCTTAACTGAGCCTCTGGATCGGGCAGTATCTGAAGCAGCCCGACCCCGGGACTTTCTACTGACTCCCTTGAGCCAAGAAATTCCCAATTCAAGCCCCCCCCTAAGTTCAGGTGGGATTTATCTGCCATTTGCATGTGAAAGATGAGTACATCCAGTCTTTCCCTGCTATTCCTTTGGAAGGGTAATCAGGCTGAAAGGAGGGAGTATCAATGCTCTGCACCTGTAAGCGCCAACAGACTCCCCCTAAAGATTCATGCCCTTTGCTCTGGCTAACTGACTTCCGGGAAATGTAGAGAAGAGCCAGGAGCACAGACTCACCTGCATGACGGCTCCGCAACCGTTACAACAGAACGCTTCCCACCTGCGCTCTGCAGTGGTTCTGGGCTCCTCACTTTGACAAGTGGGACAGCTGCATTCAAAGAAATACTGACACCTCAGCTTCTGTTGCCTTTCAGCGACACCCATCCGGCTCTTGTGAGGCCCTGCAGGGAGATCCTCAGATATGTAAAGCGAGAGAGAGTCAAACAATACTTAGAATAAACAAATAAAAATCCACTTAGCAGAGGGTGCAATTATTCATTGTGTGACAGGTACTTTCTCTTTAGGCAAACGTTTGTGGACCCCAAACCAGGTGCTGTCAAGTCAATTCGGATTCACGGAGACCAACGTGTGTGGCTGATTTTTTGCAAGTAGCTCACCAGGGCTTTTCTTCCAAGGTACCTCTGGGTGGACGCAAATTTCCAGCCTTAAGATTAGCAGCTTCGTGCATTGACTGTTTATACCACCCAGGGCCTCTGGGGAAGGAGACAGAGCTTCCCAGTTGCTGGGACAGGAAAACAAACAAGCAAGCAAACAAACTCAAGGTGTTCTAACTATTTCTAGAAAGATTCATCAAAATAGGTGAGCATCTCTCTCACTGAAGTGCTTTCTGAGTCCTCCCCTCTCTTCATAAACTAGCCAATCAGGCAAGCCTTGGATTTCCTGGCGACAGCTCAGCAACACAGAACCTCTTCAACTAGGCTTCCACGGGCTCCTTTCCTGTGCGTCAAGGTCCCCTGGGAACCCTATCCTAAAGGCCCCCCGGGGATGTGTTATTTCAGAGTAACAACAACAATGAAAAAACCACTGTCATTGAGTTGTTTCCAACTCATAGTGACTGCCACTTGGTTTCTAAGGCTGTAAATCTTTATTGTCTCGTCTCTCTTCCGTGAACTTGGTTAACAGCCAAATGCTTTAAACACTATACCACCAGAGCTCCTTATTTTCACAACAGGAAATTTCCTTGGAATTAAGCAGTGAGGCACATGATAAACCAAACAAACCAAACTCACTGCCGCTGGGTTGGTTCTGACTCAGTTACCCCCTTTGGGTTTCTGAGGTGGTAAATCTTTATAGAAGTAGACTGCCCAGTCTTCCTTCTGTGGAGTGGCTGGTGGGTTTGAACTGGCAACTTTCTGGTTAGCTGTCAAATGCCTTAGGCACTATGCCACCAGAGTTCCTTGAGATACATGACAGCTAGGCACAAAAGTTCGCACAAAGTGCCCTAGTAAGGAGGCCTTTTTCTGTGTGTGTGTGTGCATGAGTACGCACTGCTTCTTCCAGGAAATAAATGTAAGGCACCTGTACAGTTGCTTGTTCTTGTTTTCCAACCCTGTCCTTTTCTGCCGCAAAAGGGCAGGATGGTAAGGAGGAAGCATGGCTCACCATAGCAGTGGAGAATCTCTTGCCCTTTTCCAATCTGTTGTGATGCCCGAATGGTGGCGACAGTGCTAACAAAGGACACGCTGGTGTTGGGGCTGCAGGAATGGTTCAGGAGGCTGACAACAGGGAAGATGCCTGTGGCAAGACGTACCTGCCTGCTGTTGGTGACGATATTCTCTTTAGATCCTGAAAGTGCTAGAGGAAAAGGGAAAATGTGTCCGGATATTAGTGCTGGCCTCGCCATCCATTTCTCAGAAGCTGAGCTGGGAAATTGGGCCTGAAGCCCATCTGAGTCACAGTTCCATAGCCAGATCCAATTTAAATCAGATGGAACATGACTCACAGCAATCTCTGGTCCCCAGGAAGCAAAGTGAATGAACACATAAAAAATCCACCCAGATCCTGGAACCTAACCCTTGTGTCTCACCAACACAAAAAATCCAAAGATTAGGATTTATACAAAATAATAAAAAAGGAATTATCAGTAGGGTGCTTTCCAGCCAGTCAGTTTATAATGTTCATGAGGACACAGAGACCAAAGTACCTGTTGAGGTTATTTCCCAAAGACTTTCACAGTTCAAGTCCATTTGTTTAACTCGTCTTTAAAAACCCCACATTCTTCCTGCTTGCCTGGCCTTTCTGCTCCTCATCCCACCTTCCTGGGGTATCAGTCAGCAATGCTTCTACTGAAAACAACTGTCTGCACTGGCTCTATTCAAGACAGGCTCATGTCCCAAACAACCTCTTCTTTTTTTCTTGATTATTGTGATTTGGGTGAAAATTTACAGAGTAAAATTCACTTTCCATACAGCAGTTCACAGATACTTTGTCTCATGACATTGACTACAATTTACCCCAGTGCAACAGCTCTCCTCCCACTTCTTCCAGATAGTTACCTCTTCCCTGTGTCCATCCCTCCATGCACTCCTGCCCCCTGAGCTGTTTCCCTGTGCAGACACAGCCCTTCTTTCTCCCATGACTGTTCTCTCCAAGGAGTGTATCTACCTCAGGTGTATGTTCAACTCATATGCCTCTCTCTTCTTTGGCTGGAAGCCACAGGTGTAGGTTCAGTTCCAGACCTGAAGGGCAGCTAGGTTACACCAGGCTCTATGAGATCAGCAAACCTGGTCTCCCCTTTTAATTTTTCCAAATGATTTTGAATTTTGTTCCACATTGTTCTCCCTCTCTATCCAGGATCTCCTATGTAGATCCCCGAGTGGTTGACAGTGGTAGCCAGGCCCATCTAATTCTGGTCTCATAGTCGTATAGGCTGAGGATGGCATAGTGTACCAGTCGCTAGGACTAATTGTTTTCATGAATCTTTGGTTTTCTTCATTCTTCTTTGCTCTGGACGAGGAGAGACCCATTGTTGCATCTAGATGGCTGCCTGCAAGCTTTTAAGATCCCAGACGCTACTCGCCAAAGTAGGAGGTGAAACAATGTTTTGTGTAGTATGTTATGCCAGTTGAGCTTGATGTTCCCTGTGACTATGGTCCCAAGCCCACAGGTTCAACTCCTCGTTCCCTCTGGGTAGCTGGCTGTGACCAAGAAGTGACTACAACTTTGTCCCTTGTCAGCTCTACTATACACCTGAGATTTCTTACAGAACATACACTTGTAGAACCATTGTCTGCCAACCCTAAACATAGTCTTGGGTAACAATCTCTTTTTCGAAACACAATTAACCAGTAACTTAACTACATGACTGAAAATTAGGATGGAAGGTAGGAAGGAAAATGTCTCTAAGCAGTGAGGCTGTTTCTGTACCAAAGCTCATACATTTTTACTCATATGAATTTCCTGTTCTCTCAGGCAGTGTGATTTCCTCTTATTTTAGACACAGTTCTCACTAGCTTGGTTATTCAGTTTCTCAGGCCATTAATAGTCCAGAAGAAGAGAATTAATGAGGAGGATACCAAACCAAAACAAATCAAACCCACTGCCATAGAGTCAATTCCGACTCATAGTGACCTCTACTGCATTTCCAAGACTGTAAATCTTTATGGAAGTAGACTGACTCCTCCTTCCTCCTGTAGAGCGGCTGGTGGGTTTAAACCACTGACCTTCTGATTAGCAGCCAAATACCTTATCCATTATGCCACCAGAGCTCCTGTGTAAGGAGAGAATGTATAAAAGCCAGGTTTTCTGACAAGGGCAAGAGTGAAGAAAGAGGATGAAAATTTACACAAGAAGAAAAGCCTGAGGACAAAGAAATACACTAGTACCTCAATGGTAACATTTTGCTTAACCATATATTCCTAGACTGGCAGCATAAGTACATGGGCTTTTGCAATAGCTGTATGGTTGGTTTCCAGGACTACGCATAGCGTAGATATCCGTGGCATCCAGAAAGGCTTCAATTATGCCTGGTAGTCTTGGTTTAAGTATGAGGAAATAATATTTCCAACAAGACTGGTTGAAATACAAAAGATATTGGTACTTAAAGGGAAGCCTTCAATTGTCTGAAAAATTTGTTTATACAGAACAACTAATTTTCTGTATCAGGTAATTGTGGTACCTTGTGGTACCACTGTATGTATGCCAGGAATTGCAAAACAACACTCACTAAAGAAATAAGCAGTCTAGGTACAAATGTAATGAATAAAGAAAATATCATGAGTCATCATGTGAAAGTGCTCTATAATAAATATACAAATAATGTTGTCTCCTTGCAGATAATTCTCTTATCTGTTGCTATGGAAGACAAGAACAGAGTAAGTAAACAAAATTCACAAAGACTCCAAATGACTCAATTTTAGTCAACAATTCTACAAATTATATTAAAATCTTTCATCAGCGCTTCTCCTAAATGCGTAACTTATTCTAGTTTCACCTCTTTTTCCTTGTCCAAAGCCCACCTTCTGGAGCATGTGCTAATGAGCAATGAAAATGCTAAAAGGTAGGCAGCAGGAAGGAGCAGTACAGGGCATGAACAATCTGCTGTCTGAATAATCAGTCTGCGCATAATTAAAAGTTGACTTGCATTCCCAACTCCTGGTAACTGGCAATCTATCTCAGAACAGTTGCGAAAATTTTCCCAGAAAAAAAATTATCACAATACAGTGAGTAATGTCAGCTTCGTGAATTATTTATAGATTATCCCTGAACAGAAGTAGGCCCAGAAATTGAGTGGGGTGAGTATTTATGTTAGAGTTGAGTGTGTCTCCATTTCTAAAAAATGAGGTATTGATTTTGAAAACTTACTCAATAGCTTGCATTAGTCATCTATTAGTAGAGATAACAAAAAGTGAGAATATGTATGTGCCTTATCAATTAAATTTAGCAGGTGACATTTTGGTATGTATGTATGTATGTATGTATGTATGTGTGTGTGTATATAAAACAGAATTAGCAACATTCACTTTTGATTATTTTACCAAAAGTATACCTTGCTAATATTCCTTTTGCAATTTAAATGGGACTCAAGGAAAAAGATTCATTCACAATACTTCCAGAACACACTAATCCATATACACACACACATATATATATATAAACCCAACCCACCGCCATTCAGGTGATGCCAACTCATAGTGACCCCCATTGGGTTTCCAAGGCAGTAAATCTTTACGGAAGTAGATTGCCTGGTCTTCCTTCTGGAGGGCAGCTGGTGAGTTTAACGGTCAACCTTCTGATCAAAAGTCAAATGTCTTAGTCCCTGTGCCACCAGAGCTCCTTATTCTTAAATATTCTGCAAAATGAGAAATTTGTGTGCATGTCAAGTAATCAAGGACCCAAACCAAAGGTGCATTCCTTGGTTGGCTGGTGAAAAGTGAAAGCAAAGGGCATGCATTGACTAAGTCTACAGACACATTAAATTTGATTTAGCCTTGTAGACAAGAATCCAGATACATTACAAAGGTGTCATTCCTACTGGGATAGAGTCACACATATTTTAAGATCTAGAATGTCATCAAGTGGCCAGTTCTACCCCTTGAGGTAAGTAACCAGAGAGAGGTTTCTGAGTAACTTTGACTAAATAAGATTTATACCAAGGTAATAATGTACATTTTTATAGGTTTTTGTTCAATTCTATCCTATTTAACACTTTAATCCTTCTTCTGTGCTCCTAATGAAACAGATGCTAATGAAATTCAATGAGAACACTAAATTGGGAGGTGTTGGAAACCCAAAGAAATAATAAAAAGGGATATAACAAGATTAGAAACATGAGCAGACTAAAACAAAATTAGACTGAATTCAAAAACGAAAGTGAACATTGCCAGTGGGTGTGTAACTGGTACAACTTTCTTGGAGGGCAATTTTGCAAAATGTATCAAGTGCCTAAAAAATGTTTATAGCATTTAAATTGTTTTTATTATTTAAAAAATGAATTAAGGGAAATACATGATAGAAAAAATTTAAAAACTGAAAATTATAGAGAAAATAGCTGCTGTCTGTAATCTCATCAGCTTGGTATAACATTTTGGGGTATTTCCTTGCAGTCTTCTTTCTATGCTTATATATGGAATTTTAAAAAATTATTTAATTCTTTCATTAACACTTTAAGTCGTAATTCCAGAACACACAAGACAGCTAATAACTGATCCAAATGAAATCTTCATTACATTTTGTCCATACACTTACTATTCTCAAAAGACCAATCAGGTTGATATTTAATCTTTCCCACCCTAAGATGACTCTAATTCACAGGATTCATATAAGGCATCCATCTTAAGCATGTGGTGAATTGCAGATGTGAGCTTAACTACATATCTAAACAGTCATGTGACACTGTCACTCTGCCAGCTGCTGTGTTGAGGGCTTTACAGATACTGTCTGTTAATCTATGAGCCCTATATTTGGAATACTATTACATTATATAGGAGCTCTGGTAGCATAGTGCCTAAGGCACTTGACTGCTAAGCAGAAGGCTGGCGGTTCAAACCCACCAGCCACTCCTCGAAAGGAAGGTTGGGCAATCTACTTCCATAGTGATACTGCCTCGGAAACCCAAGGAGGGGTCGCTATGAGTCAGGTCTGACATAACAACAACAACTACATTATATAAGGAGCCCTGATGGTACAACAGTTAAGCACTCAGCTACTAAATGAAAGGTGGGCAGTTCTGAACCCATCAGCTGCTCCATGGGAGAAAAGACTTGGCAATCTGCTCCCATTAAGATTTCTTTTTTTGGCTTTAACAAAAAATATTATTCTCTCCTGGTGTAGGAGGCTGTGAGTGT